AAAAAAAAAAAAAAAAACAAAACTCAGTAAACTAGGGCTAGAAGGGAATTTCCTCAAGTTGCTAAAAAATATCCACAAAAACCCCTACAGCTAACATCATATTTAATGGTGAAAAACTTGAAGCTTTCCTAATAAGGTCAGAACATGGTAAGGATGTCCCTTCTCACCACCACTTTTCAATATCATATTGGAAGTCCTAGCTAATGCAATAAGACAAGAAAAGGAAACAAAAGGTATACAGATTGGGAGAGAAGAAATAAAACTGTCTCTGTAAGTATGTGATTATGAAGAAAATCAAAAGAATTGACCAAAAAACTTCTGGAACTAGTAAGCAATTATAACAAGGTTACAGATACAAGATTAATATACAAGTCAATTACTTTTCTATATACTGACAATGACAAGTAGAATTTGAAATTAAAAACAGTACCATTTACATTATCATCCCCTTCAAAAGGAACTACTTAGGTATAAATCTAACAGAATATATACAAAATCTATATGAGGAGAACTACAAATTCTAATGAAAGAAATCAAAGAAAACCTAAGTAAATGGAAGAATATTCCATGTTCATGGATAGAAAGACTCCATATTATCAAGATGTCAGTTATTTTCAACTTGATCTATAGATTAAATGCAATCCCCAATCAAATTCACAGCAATATTGCTTTCCCAGAAAGATTTTGTGGATATTGGCAAACTGATTCTAAGGTTTATATAGAGGGGCAAAGGACTCAGAATAGCTAATACAATAGTGAAGGGAAAGAACAAACTTGGAAGGATGGCAGACATTATAAGGTTTTGAGAATCACTATAAAACTACAGTAATCAAGACAGTGTAGTATTGACATAAATACAGACCAGTGGAATAGAACAGAGAGCCCAGAAATAAACTCTCACACATACAACCAAATGATTTTTGACAAGGATGTCAAGGCCATTCAATGGGGAAAGGGCAGTCTTTTCAACAAATGGTGCTGGGAAACATGGATATTCACAGGCAGAAGAATGAAGTTGGACTCTTACCTAACACCATATACAAAATTAACTAAAAAT